TTGCATCGGGAGAAAGCAGGAGAAAAGATGGGACAGTCTGTTGTGTGGAGTTTGCAAAGCAATCCCGGATATAAATGACGTCATCTTAGCAGTTTACATGGTTTCGAAAGGGTCGCGAGTAAATCTCAGGCACGACATGGAAATCTGAAATTATAGAGGGCGCATTTTCATTTTACACACGGCGAAATGAAACAAAGATTTCCCGGGAAATTTTGGACAATACTAGTATATTAATAGTCTATTGTACAACCACATTTGACCAGCACGATCACAAATCACATAGGGACCAATTAATATGATCTAAAACAATCAACCTCCTACTGACCGAGCTTAGTAAAGAAAAAATATCAAGGATCAAGGTAAATCACTTATGATCAGGAACAATCACCTAAACCAGGGACAATCACCTAAGATTAGAACAATTTAGTACAATCACAGTATCAAAACAAAATATTAAGAATCAAAACCAAACAATTGCCCAGAAGAGTCAAGAAAAATTTAAAGTAATAAAAACAATCACTTAAGGTGACTGTTAACTTAATCGATTTTCAGAAAAAATTGAAAATTTCACAATCTTGAAATTTTCAAACTCTTCCTGAGAAGTCGTTTTTATTATTTCACATATGCTTGTTTTAAAGATAAATAATTATCTTTATGACATCTGATTGAAAACCCGTTGTTTCAATGGGGAGTTAGAGGCTAAAATTGACACCAGGGGTGTCATGAGCAACCCAAAATTTATTCTCTGCAGATTTCCAAATCGTGGAAAATGGAGGGAAATTTTAACTTTTGCACCTTCAAAAGAGGTGTCAATTTTAACCTCAAGCTCCACAAGAAATCAAAGGGTTTTCAATTGGGTGGTGTCATATTATTTGCATATGATTTATCTTTAAAAAGAGAATGTAACTGAAAAGTTGAGAATGTGATAAATGGTATATATAACATGGCATGGTTTAACATATATCATATGAATCATTCATCTTTAAATTTGGGTATTGTTTTTTGGCCCACCCTGTACATTAGTAGTAATTTCATTATTTGTCGAAGCTGCAACTATAAAATTGGCGAAGCTAAAAAACGAACAAAAATATGCTTATTTAATCATACTAACTAACCTCGTTCGATAGGATTATAAGACCCAGACATATTTCGATTGATGTGGATTAAAGTCATCATTCAGAAAAGTCTATCAACAAGTGGCCCTCTGACTTCCCAAAACCCTCCCTGGAATCAAACTGGCCTAACTTAAAGATACTAAAGAGCTGTCAATTTCCATTTATATTACGCATGGCATGGTTTAACATATATCATATGAATCATTCATCTTTAAATTTGGGTATTGTTTTCTTGGCCCACCCTGTACATTAGTAGTAATTTCATTATTTGTTGAAGCTGCAACTATAAAATTGGCGAAGCTAAAAAACGAACAAAAATATGCTTATTTAATCATACTAACTAACCTCGTTCGATAGGATTATAAGACCCAGACATATTTCGATTGATGTGGATTAAAGTCATCATTCAGAAAAGTCTATCAACAAGTGGCCATCTGACTTCCCAAAACCCTCCCTGGAATCAAACTGGCCTAACTTAAAGACACTAAAGAGCTGTCAATTTCCATTTATATTACGCATGGCATGGTTTAACATATATCATATGAATCATTCATCTTTAAATTTGGGTATTGTTTTCTTGGCCCACCCTGTACATTAGTAGTAATTTCATTATTTGTTGAAGCTGCAACTATAAAATTGGCGAAGCTAAAAAACGAACAAAAATATGCTTATTTAATCATACTTACTAACCTCGTTCGATAGGATTATATGACCCAGACATATTTCGATTGATGTGGATTAAAGTCATCATTCAGAAAAGTCTATCAACAAGTGGCCCTCTGACTTCCCAAAACCCTCGCTGGAATCAAACTGGCCTAACTTAAAGACACTAAAGAGCTGTCAATTTCCATTTATATTACGCATGGCATGGTTTAACATATATCATATGAATCATTCATCTTTAAATTTGGGTATTGTTTTCTTGGCCCACCCTGTACATTAGTAGTAATTTCATTATTTGTTGAAGCTGCAACTATATAATTGGCGAAGCTAAAAAACGAACAAAAATATGCTTATTTAATCATACTAACTAACCTCGTTCGATAGGATTATAAGACCCAGACATATTTCGATTGATGTGGATTAAAGTCATCATTCAGAAAAGTCTATCAACAAGTGGCCCTCTGACTTCCCAAAACCTTCCCTGGAATCAAACTGGCCCTCTGACTTCCCAAAACCCTCCCTGGAATCAAACTGGCCTAACTCAAAGATACAAAAGAGCAGTGGAGCTGTCAATTTCACTCTTCTCAATTGTTTTATGTTCTTGTAAACAGTGCTTTTAGAAGTGGATGTAACATCGTTTTTTAAGGATTTTTCTATGTTAAAAGAGAAATTGAGACGAAATCGGGGCTCACATTTTGGATCACCCTGTATACTTTTTCCAAATGAATATCATATCATATTTCACCACGCGGTACTAAGTTCGACCATTGAATTGAATTTTTGCCTTTCCAAGTTTGAAAATCAAGGATTGCGAGTCTCATACTGCACCGTTTTTCTTCAAACTTGTTCCATTCCCACGCCTAACAATCGACAACGTAGATTGACAAAATATACGGGTGTACACTTTAGATGTACGTTGTCATTTCCACCATTTTGGACCGCCATTTTTTGTATGATGAAGCGAGGTAAGAAATAGCTTTTTTATCATTATTGAGTAAGTTTACCACCAAGTATGTACGAGGGGTGATCAATAAGTAATGGACGCTTTTTTTACACAGATACTTTTTATAGACTAATCCCTTTGATTTTCCTACCAGTGATACATCATTCAATTATCTATCAATTCTGAAGATTTGAAGACAAAATATATAATACATATTGATATATCCTTTTTTCAGTGGAGGAGGTACAGGTACCCCGGGACCGACATTTACGTCACATATTCAGTTTTTAGCCAGTTTGGTAAATTTCAGTTAGATTTGAACTTTTTATATGCAACAAGTGTTGTGTTTTTTGAATTTTTTTGCTGACTGGTAACACATAAACAGAAAGTATTGTGATGTCAGAGTGTTGTATGGAAGGGGTTTGCAGGTCAATTTGAGAAAGCATTGTGGAAGAAAAGAGTGGTGAGAGATGGGAACACCCTACTCCATATGGACAATGCACCTGCCCACAGACCTCAAAATGTTCAGAAAACAATATCCCTGGACCTCAAAATTGAGCCTTTGGCCAATGCACCATATTGTCCAGATCTGCTTACATGTGACTTGTTTATTTCTATACTACTTATTTCTATAGAGAAAGGACTCAGGTTTATTGACATTGATGAAATAAAACAACCCGTGCAACTGCATCTTGCTACCATGTCAGAGAATGGATTCAGCCTTGTCTCTCCTGAGTTAAGAGGATGAGGAATTGTGTACATGTAGCACTTGATGGAACCTATTTAGAAGGCCCTGTGGAATGAATGTGGCATGAATACCACATAGTGATGATAAAATTTTCAAAATTAACTATGGGAAAACAAAATGGGGTAATTCATGACCATAATGGTTTGTTTTGTTCAGCCTGCATTCAACTGCATTGCATGTTAAACAAGCTATAATAGCTTCAGAATATGTGACGTAAATGTCGGTCCCGGGGTACCTGTACCTCCTTCACGGAAATAAGGATATATCAACATGTATTATATGTTTTGTCTTCAAATCTTCAGAGTTGATAGATAGTTGAATGATGTATCACTGGTAAGAAAATCGAAGGGATTGGTCTATAAAAAGCATCTGTTTAAAAAAGCGTCCATTACTTATTGATCACCCCTCGTATTGCATGCTCTCCGTTATTAAGTTGCGAATTTCAAACGACGTTACCTTGAGATATCAAGACATCATGCTATTCTCATACTTATAAAAGTTAATTTGGTTGTCATTCACCATTTATTAAGCAGTAAAAATTAATTTGCTCCATGGGTGACAAATTATTTCAAGTTTCCTGGTGAATGTCGAGTCTTGCATCATACGAATGTAATTTTAGTCGACCTGTCTGCATGGGGTGTAATCAGGAGAATTTTTTCAATCACCCTGGCTTTCAAGCTTAGAAAATGTTTAACCAATAAGTCGATTACGTTTATAGCTACTTGTAGCCGATAATGTTGGTACAATAGCTACTTGTAGTTCATCGCTACTCTTGGAATCGTCTCTCAAAGTAGAAAATCAAAGCGGAAATCCGTTAATTCAATTCCCCAAATTCTCTTTGAATGCCATCTAAATATGATTTATGACAAGATACTCTCTATATGCGAATTATAAATGATTTTGCATTCTGAACAAAATATTTTTGTAAACTACATGTTAGATAATTTGATTAATCTTAGTCCAATGCGTGCAAATAATACATTGATTACGTAATTCGCTTTTGTGTGAATGAATTTAGATCGCATTTCTCGTTAATAATAACATTAACTTTTGTAAGTACACATTTTCAAAAAGTAATTAAAATTATGCTCCGCTGATAAACAATGCGATTGTAATCGTGAGATTGACCTAATATCAGACTATTTTGTGATATATATCATGTCATAATATATAAACACCCATTGGCTTCGCTCACTCGCCCATCGATAAAATGGAACTACACAGAATGATCTGATATTCTGTGTCAATACTCCTTGACTAACAGTGTTGGAGGAGATATGGCAATCGATTTGTTTTCTTTTACGACAAAATAATTATCATAGTTGTTTCATTTGTGTGTATATAATTAGGAATGACAGAAAATAGGAGTTATCTTCCACTATATCTAGTTAAATGAATAATTGCTTTATACAGTCACTGCATTAATTCAGGAATATTTACATCTTTTACGTAGATTTTATCGTAGACAAATCGATACAAAATACTACAGAATCATATCTAATTGAAGCAAAGAATAATGTAAATTGTTCACCTCTGGTATTTCCGAAGCATTTAATTTAGTGGGATAGGTAGAACTCATCGAGATTGGTAACTCCTTTAACATCTAATGTAATCATGTTCGAATTGAGATAACATTGAGCCTGTTTGACGAGCGCTAATTAACGTATTGTTACTTGATTCCTTCTTACGCAGATGTTTACAGTGATTGCCAGCCTCATAATAGTCAGGGCAACCTCGCAGATCTATTACATACGACTTTGCTCTGATCGCTCGAGTATTCCTCGATCGTTTATATCTAACTGAAATTCACATATTACACGTCAGTGATGGAAGACATTAGCGTATACGTGTTCTGCCGTCGCGTATACTCGTGCGCCTCAATTAAACACTTAAGGTTGTTGTCGCAAATATATTCGTCGTTAAAAGCCAGACTACAAGTGAAAATCCAGTAAAGCAGTCCATCTAGAAACATATATGTATGTGCGTAATACTTTTAGACATCCTCCGGACACAGGCCTCCAGATCAACTCGTACCTCCTTCTTCCTCGGAAAAAGAAAGGAACTTAGTGGATGATGTCTGGAACCCTGCGTTCGGAGGATGCTTTAAAGAACGATTGATTAATCTACCTACATTGCCTGCATTACTTATCCATCACGGGAAGTTTCTTCAAGCTGTAGGGCAACACATTGACTTGCTAGTGCTACGTATGCGATGAGTCTTCACGCCAAGCGAAATCTGCAGCGTATTCGATCGAGTCCCTCTTTCTAATACGGCACTAATGAAGATGTTTTAGAAAACCTTGCAGGTTTCATGATTACACCGCCGCTCTCAGGACTGAGTTAATGAGTGTTTTAACATTTAGAGGTAATATCTTTGAGAAATGTTACTCTCTTGCTTGCTAGGTCTAGCGAGATGATTCCGTAACTCCTTTACGCTACTTTATATTACAGGAATTGCCTCAGAGTTTCTTAGATTATTAAGTTGCATATGCAACAAGGCTAAAATTAATTATTTTACACTTTAAATTGAAGTCGAATTCAACAAATATTAGCCAAAAGAAAGCATTGTTAACTAATGCCACTGTTTCTCCCCGTGTTTCTCGGATGAAATACATTCAAAGGAAAACAAATTTAAAGGATATCTCCTAATCTAAATATATTTTTAAATGGTAAGTGGGATTACTTTAAAATTGTATCATGCGTTCTCAAACAAGACTGACGTCACAGCACGGATTGTACATTATCGCTGGTCAGTATCAAGCGAAGGTAACGGCCGTAAACTTTGCATCTCAGATGGCGGACGGTTAGTGTCGATTTCGATATTTTTTGTTGCCATCGAATTTAACCACTTTAAAGTTGATGCAATGCTTTGATATTGAACTTTATCACATGATTAGGACTGTCTACGCATTTTGATTGGTCAATTGTGATGATGTATATTCCGTATCACATGACACGTGACTAATTTCCATGTGATACTATGTATTACCTTTCGTGGAATTTTTCCTGTATCACATGCTGAAACGTGTGATATCAGGCTTGTATGACATGGGAACTCTGTAGTATGATCATTTGTTCATGATCATATACCATGCGTAGGCACCGCAGTTCAACGACATCTTCCATCGCTTACGTGTTTAATATGTCTGTAATATATGATTAGTATATTATCTCCAATCAATGGAGGGGAAATAAATCTAATAATAAAATGGGAAGACACTTGGATTTTGGTTTTAGAGATGATAATTAAGATAATGTGAGTAATATAAGAAAGGCTGCATGATATGCGCCGAAGCGTATTGAAAACTAACATGACCGTTACCATCATACATTACAAGTTACCTTTCTTTAAGCGGTGGAAGATATCGTTAAATGTGGCGTCCACGCACGATATACGAACGAATTACCATACTGCATAGTTCCTATGTCAAATAACAAGCCTGATTTGGTTCAAATATCAAAGCATAACGTCAAGTATAAAGTAGTTTAATTCGATGAAAATAAAAATATCGAAATCCCCACTAACCGTCCGCCATCGTACAGCGAGGAATCAAAAACGATTTATCAAATATTTTAAGGTTTGTCACTGGTTTTGACTTTCAAAAATAAAGCTTGTTGAGCAAAACGCTTATTACTATAAAGGCTCCATGATATATTTGCAAATTAACACGCTCTAGCTTTTTCCAAATTACATCTAAACATCAGTATGATTCCAAAATCATTTAGCATTGATTTATCTTAGAATAATAAATACTTTAATTCAGATTTGGCGTGTGATAAAAGAGAACATATAAAGAGCTCGTCATCAAGACATTCAATGAGCTGCATTCGCAGAACCAGCTACAGGACATTTAAGTTGAGCGTTAAGGGAACCATTATTCCAATATGAAAATCTGAGTAACTTAGAGATGCTCTTAACATGCATGGGAAATTACATATGGGATCATTGTGCAGATATGTCTTAAATGGATTAACATAAATAATTGCAAATACGAAAACACAATCTCGTAAGAATTGAACCTTGAGATATCACATTGTTAATTAATTATTTAGTTTCATCGTTCAATCGGTATATCTCGATCCCCTCCTCCTTTCACCCGATCCTTCCTGAGTCCAGTCTTCTCAGTATTATTTACCAGGTTGTATGTGCTCCCAATATTCCCTACATTATTTCAATGATATGTGTCATTTCAATCAAAACTCTACTGGTCTGAATTGTATCAAATTGAAACAAATCTAGACGCAGTGGGGACAGGACATTTCGCATATCATAAATTAATGGCCTACTGTATCTGTTTGTAATCGAATGAAACGAGTAAAACCATGCATTCAAATTTGACAATGAGTTACGCATGTATAGACACTTTGCAGGTGGCATCATTTATTGGAAATCAGTTTAACACCATTTTAGTACTCTATCATCCTTTCAATTCGAATTCATTATCCCAGCATCGATTCAGCTTATACAAATTAGAGTGGGAATAGCCATAGTATATAGTACCATGATTCTATCTGGATATAAAGATATAAAGTCTTCCTTTGCTCCGTGACTGACGTCATCATCAATACTTAATGGCTGAAAACCATTCATTACCACGTTGCTAACAAACAAAATAGACGATTCAGAATTTATCAAAAGCGCTTCAAAAGTATTTGTGCAATGTCGACCATGAATTATCATCGTGATTAACAAAGATGTTTGGAATAAGTTGATATACGAGGGTATATCATAAAGTTCTCATAATATCTCTCTAATTTTTTTATTTTTCAATATATTCTGATGAATTTTTCACAGAATGTGTAGTATAGAATGCTGTATTAATCTGTCAATAAATATTTGGTATAACAGAAATATTATTTAAGAAATGGTTGCCATAGTTACCAGAAATCAAGGCACCCGGGGCAAATAAAAAATCGTGCACGAATAGCCCCAACTAACCATGTTTAAATGCATAATAAGTTATCAAATAAGCTATGAAACAAATTAAATTGTTAAATACCATGTGTTCTCGACTGTTTTGAACAATTATAATGGTCATGTGAATTGTGTGATCTCATAATGGATGATTGTAATGCTTCATTAGAAGTGATGTTAGACACTGCAACTGTTTTGTCAAATATTGTAAGGAAAGTCGATTTTCCCCCTTTAGTTCATCTTAAATATGTTTAGACTACAAATAGGGGGTAATTTTGTTGATATCTTTGCAACATATTTGTTTTCGATCATCTTTAATAAGCAAAAGGATTTTTCGAACTTATCAAGACTTTTTGTAGGTATGAATTTCATTTTTCTGATGATCTCTGCATCTATGCATGATCTTATTCAGTCATTTCTGATCATTAAGCTTTGATTCTCAGAGTCTGGTATCACATCTAATGAAGCATGTAAGCATCCCCTATGACATCACACAATTCACATGATCAATTTATTTTATAGTAAAAGCATTTTAACAACATATTCAAGATAACATTTTAATGTGTTTGATAATTTATGAGAGTTTATTATGTATATAAACATGGTTAATTAAGCTCATTTTCTCAACTTTTTTTTATTTGCCCCGGGTGCCTTGATTTCCGGTTACTATGGCAACCATTTCTTATCTAATATTTCTGTTATACCAAATATTTTTTGATAGATTAATAGAGTGTCTATACTGCAGATTTCATGAACATTTCATTAGAATATATTGAAAAATAAAAAAGTTAGAGAGATATTATGAGAACTTTATGATATACCCTCGTATATTGGTTAAACATCACATCGATGTGTGGTATTCATATATTTAATGGCGAAATGAAGGTGGCGCGCTCAAGCAAGAATTATGGCTCGTCTCTGCGTCCTACAGATAGAGGAGCATGCTGGCATTGGAGGTTAAGACGAAATGAAAACTGATGATTTCTCTTTCATGACACTTATCGCACCCAGAGGACACCATATCGACTGAATTTTCCAATTTTCCTCACGAATGAAAATAGATTGTCCGTGGGTACATTCATCAGATTCAGATTGAGAGAGCATTATATAGATTGTCGTTTGAATTGTTTTTGTTATTTTATGTTTACCTCTAGTTACATGTACTTCATCAAAAAGATATTTGTCGTTATTATAGAACCACAGCCCTGGGTAATGCTGTCTATACTTCATTATGGTCAGAAAAGGACAGGAGAGCAATTTTAAGAAGAGTCTTTTATGGTTATTCATCAACGTCAACTTCGGTGGTTAACAAAATTAAATGTAATGAAATTTGCACGGTGCCATTAATGTTTATTAGAGATCGGGCACACAGGAACACTTAGTTTTGATACTATTGGCGATTTGGGGACGTTTTGCTAATAATACACCGATGCAGCAAAGGTACAGAAAATAAAGAACTATTTAAACAAGATGAAGAAAGAAACTGAATAGAGCCATGATAAAACACATTTAGCAATCAGTGCAACGAACGTCGAGTATGATATTTTTGTGAATAGAGTACTTGATTGCGTGACATGCTTTGCGATATTGCTTGAATAAACTCTTTTACCAAACCTTCTTTGTTTTAAATTGGATTTGATACCGAACAATTTATCTCTTAGACATGCTTCACTTAATCACTTCAAAAGAATGAATGCAGCGCAGAGGTGAGCGTCCTGGGGTTAAGTTGTTGGACAAGGATACCAAAGTCAATTTATCTTAGATGGCCTGTGACATGGTCGAACATAAAGCATTTAGCTAGACAGCTATATTTTGAATTACTAACGGTTTTCAGTTCCTTCGAATTATCGCCATTTATACCCCATGATAAAGATAAATAAATTCTGCTATTCA